CAATTATGCCTACGTCTCCGGACTGCTGCAGATCTTTTACTAAAGAGAGAAAATTTACATGTGTTTACAAAACACTCACAACTCACAAGAAAGCTCTATAGTATTGGAAGAAAGAAATGATTTGAGATGATTTTGAAGTTAAATAGATTAGGATATTTATAGTTGAAGTTAAATGACTAATTTTGAAAATACCCTAAAGTGCAAGGATTAAAGTGCAGTTATCCCTTTACCATTTTCAACAAAAACAGCTCCTTAGCAGCCCTTTTTGACTGTTTTTTTGGGTGCATATTCAGTGCATTTAAAGCACCGAAAATCAGCTTGACTTTTAACAAAGCTAACCCAATTTGATATGTCAATAACTCCATCCTGAATTTTCTTGTAGATTTTTTGAAGCTGTGCTTAGAAATGCCTGAAATAATTTTCGTGTCAAAAATTTAGGTGAATGAAAGCTTATTTATATTCATGCTATAGAGCATTCGCAAGTTGTTGTAAGTATAAGAAGAGAACTAAAGGTAATGACCTCTTATACATTTTGAGCCGTTTTCGCCGAGGCCTCCATGAAGATCAGTCCGTGTTCCCTGGCAAACTGCTCACCTTCCTCTGTACTCACTGCCCTTCTGTGAGCCAAATCACACTTGTTGTCAATAAGCATTACTGTCATATTTGCATTTGCATGCTGCCTTGCTTCCTCCAACCAGCTAGTCAAGTGATTGAAAGTCTCCCTCCTGGTTATTAATCATTAATCATATACAGATGTAGAAGTGTTATTATTGCAGCCAACGGCACGCATAAAATTGTCCGTATGAATAATATATGTATGTCGAAGAATGTAAAGAGAAAAGGTCGGTGACTCGGTTATCAAAAGCGTAAGTAACTTCCTTAACTAAACTCAAAGTTCTGGAAATAACAAATGTATACCTAGTAATATCATAAACTAGAAGTGCACCCGCAGCTCCACGGTAGTAAGACCTTGTAATGGATCTGAATGATTCTTGGCCTGCCTGGAAAAACAAAGTAAATTCAGCACCATAACCGAAAAAGAAACAACAAGCTTCATATTTTAAATATCTTAGGCCGGGATGAAGTGAAAAATCCAGTTGCAATGAGCATAATAACCACTAAGATCAAATGCCACAGAAAACTTTGGGTAAATCAAGAGATAATGTTATCCTACTTAAGAGCATCATAATGCATTATTCCCACAACAACAATTAACCAGTCCAATAAACACTGCTATCAACTATGAACTTCTAACATTCAAATATTTGGGTTGACAGGCATGGTCGTGCTCGGGCAAGCCAGAAATAGCATAATTTTTATAGAATAAGAAATTTCGAGCAGTCGACATACTGTTTTGTTAATTTGTTCGAGAATTACTGTGAAAGATAACAGCTTAAATTGGGAGAAACAAGTGTAAAATAACACATACAATCTACAGGCACATTACATTATGGAATGTAACTTCATACAAAAACACTTCAAAACTTAAAAAAGTAGGGAAAAACCAACCGTATCCCATATCTGAAGCTTTATTGGCTTGTTCTCAATAGTGATCATTCTGGCTCCAAATTCAACACCAATGGTTAAATCATGAACAGGTTGAAACCGTTTGTCAGTAAATTGCAAAAGAAGACATGATTTTCCAACTCCTGCAAAATCAATAGGAACATACTTATGATAAAATAGCAGATGGCACAAACACTACAATCTATCCTTAGCAAAACAATATCGCAAGAATGGCAAAACTGAGAATGATTTGCAAATAAAGTAACAAGCTTCATATGAATATGAATGCAATTTCAGTCTTTGTTGTCTCAACATCTAAAATGCTATTACATCATCATCCTAAATAAAGCCATTACTTCCTGTTAGACTCTGTTTTATCTTAAGAAAAGTCATAGAATTCAATGGCTTCATCAAATTTTACAAATTGTGAGAAATTGACAGTGTCAACTGAAAACCCTTGAGTATAGCTTCAAACTCGAAGATTCAGAACTTGATGTTGCATAACAAATCAAATTCATAAGACTTAGAAAAAAGAAAAACCCAACAAAGAGAAGTTGAGAAAGAGTCGAAAGTTCAAAGATACAAAGAAACCATAAATGAAGAGAGGAAAAGAAGAAGAAAAAATGTAAAGCAACGAGCAGATATCAAATTAGAAGAAAGAAATTTTACCAGTATCTCCAATGATAATGTGCTTGAAAAGGTAAGCGTACGACATCTGTTCTGCTCAAATACCCAAAATTTACCAAAAACTAAAAGAAGGATTTCCCCCCCTAAAGAACAAATTTACCAACTGCTATTTCTTAGAAAGCGATTTATAAAGAAAAATTAATAAAAGAACAACAGTAGACGGATTAATTATCTCTATCCGGCTCAAACACTTCATTTCTTTTATTTCAATATTAATTATCCTAATAATACAAATATATATTAGTGATTAAAATTTATCTAAGATTTGAAATTTGGTATCATAAAATTTAAAATTACGTATAACTAAGTATTTAGTACATATATTATTTAGTTTGGTCCGTTTTAGTATTTAAACTTTTAATTTTTTTAAAACCATACCTAATATTTAGTTTTTGTTTCATTTTAGTACCCGTCGTTAAAAACTTAATGCGTTTAGTACCTAAACTATTAATTTTGGTCCGTTTTAGTACCTTTAACTTTCAATTTTTTTCTAGAACTTAACGTTAAATTTTGAATGGATACTAAAATGAAACAAAAAACTAAACTTTAGGTATAGTTTTAAAAAATGAAAGTTTAGGCACTAAAACATATCAAAACTAATAATTTAAGTGCTAAATGTGTAATTTACTCTTAAAATTACTAGTAAACTATTTTTATTTCAAATTATAATTAGTATTAGCGTTAATTTCATCACATATTCTTTAAGTATGATAATCAGTCTAAAGTAATCTTTAGATTTTTAAATGTTCCAACTTCATCTTCAAACTATGGCTATAATTTTAAATTAGTCTTCAAATTTTTTAACGTTCCTATTTTATCTTAGATTATGACTCTCATTTTAAATCGGCTCCTTATTTTTTGGAATGTTTTAATTTCATCACAGACTATCATTGTATGCTAATCATATGCTTGTTAATTAATAAAACTACCAGGATAAGTTATATTATTATATGTTTGACAAAAAATAGAATTCAGATTAAAATATGGTTGAGACTGATTAAATATTTGGATGAATTTGAAGATAAAATTGGAATATTTAAAAAATTGGGGGACTAATTTAGAATGAGTGTTAGAGTTGAGGGATGAAATTGAAATGTTTAGAAGTTTGAGGATTAATTTAGAGTGAATGTCATAATTTAGGGATGAAAATAAAATATTTAAAAGTTTGATGATCAAATTCAAATGAATGTCATAAATTGGAGACAGGTGATATAGTTAACTTTTAATATTATCATATTAATACTTGTACCCTTTCATACTTCTTTACAATATTTAAATAAGTGTATTTTGAAAACTATTAATGAAATATTTTTTCAAAAACATATTATATTTAAAAATATTGAATTATTGTAGTTAAAACAGAAAAGATTCATATATCGAAGTCATTAGTCTTATATTTGATTCTTAAATATTAAATATGTTTTATTTTGTTTTTATTTTTTGAATGTAAAGAGAGAGGATCTAGAAAGCCTAGAAAAACAATTCAACTAGAATCCATGCATGCTTCGACGTGAAGAATGTCATTGCAGTAGGGGGAGTATGGAAAACAAGCGTTTCACCCGGATGATTCCATGCAATTTTTGCCAGGCAGTCGATTGTTGTATTAGCCTCTCACGATACAAATGAAACTTAAGCTCCCAATCACGTTGCAGCAAATTGTGAATGTGTGGTTCAAGTGAAGAGGCTCCATGGTAAGTTGGGTCTTTAGTAATTACTGTAAGGGCTTCTTTACTACAACTTCAATCCAAAGCTTTCGGATACCTTCCTCCCACGCCTTACGTTATGATATTTAACGTAGGCTTACGTTATGTAACCCACATTGCCTTCCAAAATATTTATCTTCTTCTACAATGAAATAATCAGTATTGGGAATATATACTTTTTCTGGGCAACATCAGCCAAATAAGGAAATTCTCTAGATAATGACCCTCTAAAGTTATTAAGTAATGTGATTTCTACACTACATTGGAAAAGACACGCAAGGCGACTTCGAGACCTACACGCTTTTTTCTACAAAATGATATGCTTTTTTGATCATCTTTATTCTGCTGAGTCATGCACAGTAAAACTCTTCAGACGGTTAACTCGACTCCTGATTAAATAAAATTTTCAATAACTGTATTAATTAACTTTTTTTAATAACTAATTTTTTAATAATAATCAAATCAAACAAAATTTAATTAATTTGGTTGATTATTAAATTAATCAAATTTTTATATAATGTTTTAAATTAACTAATTTAAATTAAATAAAAAACATTTTTATTTGAATCAAAATTTAATTGCCTCTCAATAATTTAATAGATCTATTGTAGTTAAAACAATAATTAGATCTTAATTCTTAATAAATTTGAACTTAAAAAATGCATTTAATATATATATATATATATATATATTTTATTTATTAATTCAGTTAATTAACCAATTCTGAACTGAATTAACTGTTAACTAATATTGAAAAAAATTAACTATTCCCCAACTGAACTAATTCAGTGACACATTATAACCGAATTAATTCAGTTCGGTCAATTAAAACCAAAAAATGAACACCACTGATGCACAAAGATTAGAAGATGCCGTATCATCCAACCGTCTTCCTGAAAGACACCATGTCCGAGAACCGTACACATCACTCTAATTGAAAAAAAAATCAATGCATGATTAGGCATTTTTACCAACATTTTTATGATTGGGAAATGGGGTAAAACTTTCAACATGCAGATGAGAACGTATTCTATTTGAGTACTGAAAACAGGATACTTCCCTGATTATTCTGCCATTCTTTTGGAGAAAAAGAGGTAATTATACAGTCAGATCCAGAAAACTTGGAAGGGACAAAAAGGAATACAGAACAGCATTCTGTGTCACGCAGAAAATAATATAGGAAAAGGCCTCCATAATCATTATAGTATAAATAGGAATCTCAACTCTATGATGGCTGCCCTCAGTTTAGTTAGGCAAGCAACCATGGAACTATGTCTAGAGCTAAACAGCTTGTGCAACTGGTTCATCTGTACTCGACAATTCGAGCCTGAAAATAACAATAGCATGACCCGAATTAGCAAGAGTTATAGCAGGTGTCATCAAGAGGGTAATAAAAGTATTTTTAAAGGAACGATGTACCTTTGAATTCCTTCTCCAACTTCCATTCTGAAAAAGTTGCCAATCTTCACTGGTGAGCCAACTTCCTTTGATAGATTGTCCAAAATTGTCTGGTGCAAGGTATTTAATAAACTATTATACTTTATAAATCATATGCACATGTAATATCACATGTATTCCTAGACTTCTAGTTCACAAGTGTTTTAAAGCACTCAAATTTTACAACTATGAACGTAACTGCGCCCACCTGAACAGAACGTTCCAAGCAAGAAACAGCACTACTCCATAGGACAGTAAAAGTGGCATTGCCTTGAACTGAGTGCACCAACAACTAATGAGTACTAACTTTCAAGGCATACTACTTTGAAAGTCGCAACCTTCTAAATTTATCCCTCTTTAGCCCTTTGAACTCCCAACCCCGTACGCAAATAAGCTAGAGCAATCAGTTTAAGTTCAGTAAAAGCAACATTTAAGTTTAAACTACAACAGAATGGATACCTTGAGACTTAAAGAATCATTTAAGAAATATTTTTGCTCCATAAAAACCACCTCCTCAAAGTATTTACGCAGACGACCTTCAACCATTTTCTCTATGGCCATCTGAGACTTTCCAGTACTTTCAGCCTGACACAAATAAATTGATATCCATTTCAAATGAAGTTTAAGATTGGATAGCCGCAGTATTACATTGTACATGATGCATCAGAATAAAATTACTTCTGAAGAATTTATCTTTCTATCGGTAGAAAGCATGACATCAGAGAATACCCAAGGACTAAACTGATAGAAACACATTCAAATATTTTGCAAGAGACTGCATATTGACATGTATTTTGCAGATGTATCCAAAAAGATTTTTTACTTTCTAAGGTTTTATATATGTAAGTTGCAACTAATTCCAAATGACAGTAACCACGCTATGAAATGGGAAATAGAAATTTTTACATATGTAAACTCAACCATCAGATCACAATACAATAGTACATCATCTGCAAAACAATTCTGGAACAAAATCAAACTACTAGATAGATGAAAATTTTAAATCTATTTATTTCTTTGTGGCCCATTTACAGCCAACATATTCTGTTGAAAAAATCTTCTCCACAAACCCGATAAACCCTCTGTAATTATAGAGTTGGTATTACTTACATCATCGAATGAACAATAGCACAGAAATCATAGTTATTAAAGCCTGCTCCCTTTTTTGACCCAGAAAAAGATTTTAGTGGGGTTGAGTCACCAGCTCAATAGGTCAATAGGTGAAAGTGAAACCTTTCAATAAATGAATATATGTTCCCATATATAAATACCAACTAAAAAAACATAATTAGATATAAAATATCCATTTTTTAACTTGTATGTTGTAAACTACACATAACAAGACCTAGCCTTAAAGGGTCTCACCCTATAATACACATGACCAGGTTTCAATTCCCACTTTATGTAACTTCACTTGACACAAATTAGCAAAGGAGTTATCTGATTTCCAATAAATCTTTGAGAAAAACTTCGATCAAGTATAGACCCTTTCCAGACAGGGACTTCAGAGCAGTGGCCCATCCACAGTGGCTAGTCCAAGTTTTACAACCGTGATAACAATGAGTTTCTTTCATCTCCTTGCTAGTGTCTAAAGAATGTGTCAAAGGTTGTTTTAGGAAAAGAAAAACAAAGCCTCAGCATACATGAAATAATGGGATTCAAATTCGCAAACAATAGAAGAAGTCAAGAATGGAATTACACATACCTGAGACTTTAGAATCTCACGTTCATTGTTAAGCACATCAGAGTTCACAAATTCCTTCGTCAAGAATAATGGCTTTGCTGCCACAATATGCATTGCCAGTTCAGAGCCAACCTTCTGGAGTGCATCCACTTGAGAAATCTCATCCTCAACTTCAAGAGATAAAATTCCAGCGATTCGACCCAAGCCTATATCCACATAAAACATTATTATATCATTTTTCGTGCCAAATCCTATTTTTACTGCAAGGCATTAACATCTTAACTAAAATAACATGTTGAAAGATAGGGAATAACTGCACTTTATGTTGATGTGGGAAGGGATGCAAGCATGCTGTCCACCAAGCAATACAATAACAGCACAAAGACAAACCTGGTTGAGGACATCTATGGAGGTAAGCAGAAACAACTCCATGTGAAGATGCTGACATCACAAAACCCCTCCTGAGTTTTATATTCTCTCCCATCATTGCAGCCACTTCTGTAACTGCATTTTGAATGGTTGTTTCCCCACTAATTTTTGGATGGTCAAGGTTTATGTTTAAGTCCTGGTAGTAGTTGAATAATCAAGGAACTTCAAGACATAGAAATTCAAATCATAGTTGCAAAAGAGTGCAAGATTGGAACAAGTATTTGATATATACTCCGAGTGAAGTATCAACATAACTTGTGCTAACCTACCAAATATTTCACTCAATGGTTTGGTAGGGAAAGAAATTAGTGCTTCATGAAATATGTAAACAAAAACTAGTTCATAATAAAAATCAAAATACAAATCATTACATTTTCAACAATAAAAATATCATAGAAATCAAAACCAAAAGCATTTCTTAAAAAATTGAAGAGACAATAAAAGAACTATTTAAGAATAAATACAGTCCATTTCTTCATACCCCGAAAGAATATTAGACATGTATCCTTAGAAGGCTTATATGAGGTCCTATAAAGATGATTTTTATTGATCACAAAGATTGAAGATAGAGTGAAACAGTAAAAGAATATTCTGACCTATAAATGTGGACCAGGGTAAGAGTGAACAACATATCTCATGCCGTTCAATAGGAAAAAATAACAAGCTTTTGTATAGAAATTTCTCACCTCTAAACACTCAGGTCCAAACGAGAAAACCCCAGGAACCTGCTGGGAAGAGTTTTCAACCAGCAAAGCTTGCTTTGCCAATGCCAAAGCCTGAATGCAAGACAATATCAGTAAATTACAAGCAATAATGATGTACCAATAATAGTAACAAAAATAATACAGAAAGGAAAACACCAGAGAGCACAAATATTCACATTAAACGAATAAAAGAAAAATCTTCCAAGAATAGATTTCAACTGAGATTTATAGTTAACAAGAAATTATTAACCCCCATACTAACCAAGTACTCAAAAATTTCATTCCTTGCAACAAAATCAGTCTCGCAATTAAGTTCAATCACAGCAGCCTTGCCCTCATTTTGAGCCAGAGCAAGCAGACCCTCAGTGGCAGTCCTTGACTTTTTCATGGCCAAAACTTTTCCTCTTTTCCTCAATTCTTTCTGTGCAGCCTCTGGATTCAATCAAAACAATAACCCAAAACAATTTTAATATAAATTCAATCCAACAGTCAAATATATATATATAAATCCACATCAGAAAAAAACATATGCTTATTGTATACCAAGATCCCAATTGCAACCAACAAGGGCAGCCTTGACATCCTTTATGGGAGCACTTGTTCTTTCCCTTAGTTGCTTTATAAGGCCCATTTGCTCAGCAGAAGAAGCTGCCTGAGAGTTGAATCTTCTCGAAACCCAATACAAATATGCAGTTTTTGAGGCTTTGGCATCTGTAGACTGAGCATGAGAGGCCCCTTTGGTCACCCAAGTAGAGTATCCATGCCGACTATAAGTACTCATACTCAACCTAGTGTTGTATAATATGACCCCAAGTGATTGCTTTGCATTTCTGAAGAAAGCCATTTTCTATATCTAATATTTTTTCTGCAGAATAACGATATTTTAAAAGAAATCCAAACAAGAAAAGGAAAGTGGCGAACAGAAAAACCCAGAGTTCAGGTTAAAATCAGGGTTTAAGGGTTTTAGAGAGAATAATCAAAAGTCAAGCACATGATTTAAAAAAAATCAATTCTGTTTTCTAAATAGCTAAGATAGAAAAGAAAAGAGAAGAAGAGAGGGAGAGAGGGAGAGAGGGAGAGAGAGAGAGAGAGACAGAGGAACCTTAGAAGACTGAAACGAGTGCAGTCGCAAAGATGCAGGAGAACACTAAATTTTTTAGCAATGGGTATGAACCTCAGATTCTGCAAATTGAAATGGGTGGGTACGAAAAGACTCCACAAATGGGCTTAAAACCCAACTGAATTGGATGTCGGCCCTTGCTTCTTTTGTTCTTTAAATATTTCAGCTACTACACGCCTGTTCTCTTTTTTTTTTTAATTAAATAACTTATATGGCTTCAGTAAAAATAACGTTCGAGCCGGTTGTGAGTATATTAAAAATAAAACAGCTGGAAAGGACGTCCAGCTGGCAGTTCAAGAGTCTCCAACATAAAGACACAAAACACAAATAAAAAAACCTGAAAAAGTAAACTCAAAAGGCAAAAAAAAAAAGTTAAAAAAACAAAACACAACCCGGCCAAAGCTTCCCCTATCTTGATGAAACCCGTTGCGAACACAAAGAAGCTGAAAAGAAAATCCCAATATCGAACCGAAAAGCTTGAAAACATCGTGGAAACCTTACTCTAAGGCGGATCGAACCACCTTAGATCCTTTGCCACTTGCTCCATAACTAAGATCGGAGCTTCCTCGACCCAAAAGCGGTCTACGATGCCTGCTGTGGAATCTTTCGCTAGAAGGTGAGCTACCAAATTCCTAGATCGGTGGACAAATCGAAACGACACCTCCTGCATGGATGAAGCCAACCGTTGGCCATCAAAAACCAAGGTTCGTACTTTAGACCGATCTTTACTTCGACTGCAATTTTTGAATTATGGCACGAGAATCACCCTCAAATTCGACATGCATGAAACCCAAATCTCTGGAAAAGAAGATTGCGTTCACAACGATCGTCGCTTCAGCAACCATCGTCGAGGTAACACCCCATATTCTCTGTCTTGTAGCCCCTAAAATGTTACCTGCTTCATCTCTGATCGCCACACCTGACCATGCTTCCTGACTGTTGTGCGAGAAACTTGCATCAAAATTAGTCTTAATTTTCGAAGGCGAAGGAGGGGACCAGCGAACCTCAGTCATTGAAGAGGAAGGTTGGAGTGCCTGGGAGACATCAACGAACTCCTTGCAATGAGCTTGAACGAACACTGCAAGTTGTCTGGTAGGTGTAACTTTACCTTCATGATAAGCTTGTTTCTAGAGAACCAAAGTGCCCAAACTATTGTAAAAATCTCACCATGCTTCTTAACTGAATAGTTGTTAAAAAGCCAAGATAATCACTCTTTAACTGTCCATTGTTGAACAATCACATGCCAACTATAGCCAAGTACCCCCAAATTGATCCAACAAACCAACAGTCACGAATCACATGCTCACTTGACTCTACCAGAGTAGTGCACCGAGGACAATAAGGGTAACTAACTACCGGCTTTTGAACCAAATTCATATTTGTAGGGACAAAGTCACGGGTAAAATGCCACATTTGATGCTTTATTTTCTGCTGACATTAATTTGCTTGCCCCAATCTGTTTATAACAATCTTGTGACAGATTTGTTCCACTGTCACTATTTAGCAATAGTTTGTAACCACTTCTCACAGTGAAGACCCTTGACCGTTCCATACTCCATACAAGACAATCTTCCAAAGCCATTAATGGAATATGAATATTAAGGATTAAATCAGCTTCACTTTCAACAAAGATACCTTGAAAAAGACCCTAATTCAACGACTTGTCATCTACCTCTAAAAGATCCGAAACACGTTCTACTAAAATAAACTGTGGAGAAGTGACCCTACCCAGGGGAAACATAGGGAGCCAATAATCATTCCAAACTGAAACTGAAGTTCTAGGTCCAATGCTCCATCGAAGACCTTTTTCTAATAATCCTCTAGCACTCCAAATACTCCTCCAAACATACGATGGCTGCGAACCCAATCTAGAATGCATAAAATCTGACATGGGGAAATACATAGCTCAAAAAATTATACTCACCAAAGACTCAGGATATATCATCAAACGTCACCCCTGCTTCGCCAATAAAGACACATTAAACTTGGCCAAGTCCCGAAAGCCTAACCCCATGTATCCTTTAAATCGCATAATGTATTCCATGTACACCAATGTATCCCTTTCATCTCAACAGTGTTCCTCAATCAGAACCGTGCCATTAGACATTCCACACTATTAAACAGACTCTTTGGAAGAAGAAAGCAATTTATTGCATAAACGGGAAGCGCTTTGAGCACTGACTTTTATGTAAACTCCCTTTCCCCCATGAGAAATGAAACAAATACTCCAGGCATGTATGCAGGATAAAATCTATCCTTAAAGTAGGCAAGCACTTGTCTCTTATTTCGACCCACCAGCGTCGGTAACCCTAAATACTTTTCTGGATTGGATGAGCTATCAACTTCAAGGATTCGTTTCACATCAGCCATGTTTGCATCAATAACACTGGAACTAAAAAACAACCTCGATTTCTCAAATTTAACAGTTGTCCAGAACTACTTCCATAGATGCGAAGAATCTCTTTTATTTCACAAACCACCCTCGAATTAGCCTCTCCAAAAATTAAAGACTCATCTGCAAAAAGTAAGTGTGAAATAACTGAAGCGTACCTGTTAATGTGAACACCCTGCATCCTCCCCAAAACAAGTGATTGTCAGATGAGTTCGAATAAGCCTTCACTACAGATCAAGAAGAGATACGAACTAAGAGGGCCCTCTTGACGAAGACTTCGTTTTGGGCAAAACGTATCCCCCACGATACCTTTAACCCCAATGGTGCAGGAGATTGAGCATACATATCTCTTCACAAACTGATCCAGTCAGGATGAAAACCCATGCGATTCATTACCTCCCAAAGAAAATCTCACTCCACTCTATCATACGCCTTACTCATATCAACCTTCAAAGCAAAAAAACCCCGTCGAACTGTAGGCCTTTTAAGGAATGAGTGAAGAATTTCATATGCTGCCAGGATATTATCAGTAATAAAGCGACCTAGTACAAATGCACTCTGAGCTTCATCTATGCATAAATGTAACAAATTTTGCATTCTCATCACGAGCACCTTTGAGAGTATCTTGTAAAGGACATTGCAAAGACTAATCAGGCGAAAGTGAGCCAAAGTAGAGGGAGACTTCACTTTTGGAACAAAAGCGATGTGCGTTCGATTAACTAGCGACATCGTTGCACGTCCATAGAGTAAATGTAACACCCCCAACCTGTATCCGACCCGAATTCGAGTCCGAGGTGTTACATTGACTTTTCAAAGCATTTTCCTTTACATGTGATGAAAAAAATCCAAATTCTCAATTCAATAAAATGAATATTTTACATTAATTAAAAATAAATGGGTTTACAAAACATATCAGAGCTTATACAATTCAAATCTTTAGACTACATGCCAACTACATTCTATGTAACAAAATACATATATTTAACTACATTTCTGATCTGATCCTTGGGAAAGAGAATCTGACCTGTCTTGCTCCTCTTTGCTCCTTAACTTTCTCGAAACCTACATGTGAAACATTCACACGCTAAGTCGATAACTTAGTGAGGCAATAAACTTATAAAGGAAATTCTAACCACTTAATCATGCATGAACATATCATACTATGCTATCACATAAAACAATATAACATTACATATAATCAATAACCTCCTTTCATTATAAATATTTATTCATTCCTACCTTTTAGTTATCTATTCTTACACTTAACCTTCTTAACTATCATATATCACACATCAATGAAACCAACATATTATCATATCAAGTTTACTTATATTATCTCTTTATTAGTTCATGTTCATATGTGATTCAATACAACAATAATAACATGATAACATACAATCATACAAACACTTTGCATATCTTTTATAAGCCCATGTACATTACTGAGAACATAAGGTATGCGAGTACATTGAGGTTGAGCACAAATGTTGTCACCACAACTCGTATGGGGTCCCACCAGGGGCATGTGAAATTTGTCCCGAATGACCTATGTATGTCCCGAAGAACCTATGAACCCTCGACTCTTGGCATGCCAACTATACTCCTAGCTCTCATGATACATAACATGGGCATTATCATTTATGTTACCACACATTCACATTCACATGCTCATATCACATATTAATATAATCTCATATGACTTTCTCATATGGTCACATAGATCATATCACATAGCTGTTATCACATAACTCATATAACTTTTCGTATGATCTCATAGCTTATTTCACTTTCTTATGAAATCATTTATATCATATAGTTTATACTTTGTTCTCTTATTTTCACATATATCATGTATCATATATGATCACCTGTCACATGTTCCTTCAATTCCTTATATCTCTATTGTTATATATATATATATATGTATATCATATCACATAAATTCAACACATTAACATGTATTCACACAATCATATAACATATATAATCACATATGTTCATATCAAACACATGTTCATGAATTCATGCATACTACTATAGTAAATAGACTCATCGCAAGTCTTATTTCCATACATCATCATATAATAACTAATATGCACTCACCCGGCCTCACTAGTCAATATCGTTCTCTTAACTTTTCTTCAATACCCAATACTGGTCGACTGATCTGGACTTGCTCTCGATTGATATCTTCATAATCATACATTATACATACCAGTATTCCAATTAGCATACTCTAATCTTTCATTTCTTAGACTAAAAGAAAGATCTATTTCCATTTTCCCTTTGAAGTGTATCGATACACACTATAGGGTATCAGTATATTCCTTAACATGTGTATTGATACACTACCTATGTATCAATACAAAAATTACATTCGAAAGCTTTCATTTTAAGGGGTATCGATACACTCTCTATGTATCGGTACACTTTGAAAATCTTTATGAATTTCTCTTGATGTATCGGTACCTGTTGAATGTGTACCGATACACAGTAGCCCAGAATTCACATTTAATCCCGAAAATCACTCCAATTCCACTTAAACACTTCATATTTCATTCCCTATCATATTCTTAACTCACATACGCATGCATAAACTCATTAATACTCATTTACCACCTCATAAACCTCAAAATCCTATCATTCATATGAAATTCAAGAATTAAACTCAATTTTCAACCTGTTCCAAATTCAATTCTATTACTTTTTATCTCTTAATTAAGTTGATGACAAGTCAAATTTGGTTTCCAATTCTACTTATCAACTTTATTCCAAGTTTTCATTCAAAAACTCCAAATCTTTAATCTCTCCTAACTCCTTCATCCTTTGATTTTAAGATAACTTAAGCTTTCCTATCTTCTAATGATCCTAAACCAATCTTAAATTTAGCAAGAAATTAACTAACCATAAAACTCACCTTTGTTTTGGGGTCTTCACACACAAAGAAGAACAGAGAAGAAGAGAAATCTGAAAGCTTGGATTTTTGCTTCCTCTCATCCACGTGGGCTATATATAACCATAAAAAAAATCTTTCCTTGCCAAATGACCATTTTGTCCTTCCCTTCCTTCTTCTTTGATATTTAATCCTATACAAAATTTCCCATGTAAGTCCTTGAACTATTAATTTATTCTACTTTAATCACCCTCTGAAATTTTACAATTTAGTCACTAACCCGATATTGAGGATGTTACAGTAAATCAACACAATAGGCTACCACCTCCCGACCAAAAATATGCCAAAAACACCGATAAAAAATATCCCCCAAACCATCAAGCCCCGAGGCTTTGAGAGGGCGCATTGTCTTCACAGCGGATGTCAGCTCCTCATAAATGAAATCTTTCAACAAAGTATTATTCATCTTAGACGTAATAGTCAGATGAATTCCCTCCAAAGTTCAATCATCAATCTTGGTAGTCAAAGAAAAGAACAAGGACTGAAAATAGGATTTAGCTTCCTCACCAATCACCTCAACACCTTCCAACCGAGTACCATAAGACCTGTCAAGAAATAATATTTGGTTTTTACGTTTTCTCTGAGTAGCATAATTGTGAAAGAACCTGGTATTATTGTCTCCATTCTTAAGACAATTGGCTCTCGCTCGTTGCTCCCAATAGAGCTCAGGTTTATCAGTTTCCAGGTTAACCGAAGTTTCACATCTATAATTTCATCCAGAACCTCCTCCGATAAAACAAACCCCTGAAGCTCACACAATCTTCGCTTTAAATCCTCCTCCGTAATACGTTTAGCCTTACGTACAAAATAAAACCCGTTATTAAGGCCAAGACTAACATAATTCGATCTATCACGAACCGAGCCAGAAGAAGATTCCCAAATCTGACGCACCTCGGATTCACAATCCTCCTCTAAAAGCCACAAAACTTTCAATTTGAAGTGCCACTGCCGTGAGGTACTCCTCTCGACTTTAGTGGTGAGAAGCAATGGACAATGGTCTGACTTCAAGGATACCAAATGTTCGAGAGCAAGTTAAGATAATTATATATAAAAGATAATAATGAAGCCCTAATACCCCAAATTTTAGATAGTGACTAAAATGTAAATTTTAAAAGTTAAGTGACCAAATCGTGATCTTTCAGTTTGTCATATTGATAATTGCTTGATTCACTGATTGCAGATGCAAGGTGGTGTTAACTTTTTTGGCTGGATATCCATTCTGATAGATCAGAATACACAAGCATTCCATATGTTTATGTCTTCTCTTCTTCAGGTGTCTGCTTTCTTTATATTTTTTCTTCCCATATGTTCAAATATGACATGAAGTAATAGCGGAATCTTTAAACTGTAGTTGATATGAGATTCATAACCTGTAGGCTCATGTCACCATTATTTGCAGCTTTTCGATCGCACCGGAGTGTTGTACGGGGAATTAGCTAGATTTGTGTTAAGATTGCTTGGCATCAAGATAAAACCCCGCAAGATCAATCAACCAGGACCTGGTGGACTCCCAGGACCGCATAACCCTCATGGGAATCAGAACATATTGAGGCTGAAAAGGCTGCGCCAAGCGCTGCATGGGACAACGTATGGGGTGAAAAGGGTAGCTCTTAGTTCGATACTCGATTTCCATCCAATGATTGCTGGTAAAATAACCCGAAATTTTGGGAAAGGCTTATCGAAGTTCGGATGAGACAAATACAACCACTTGCACCTGCTTGATTCACGCAGCTTGGTGAAGGGTAGGTGGCGCTCATCTGAATAAATGTTTGGGGTTGTATTCTTCTGCAGGATTTGGGTGCACCAAGTAGTCCCATGGTGTTAGATAAGGAAAATATGATGCTCGAATGTAGAGTCACAGTAATTTAATTTGCGAGATGAATTAGTATTAAATGTTTGCTTGTCTTGATATTTTAATAAATTTGAGAAAAAGAAATATATATGATTTCAAATTTTCTTTTCATAAAGTTTGAGAATTATATTACATGCCCAATTCATTGATATGTTTCTTCTAATCAGATTAAATTTTTAATTAAATATAATTTTTATATTGATGTATGATTTTGATTACTGTAATAAAGTTATTAAAAAAAATCAATTTAAGTTTTTTTTTTTGAAAGTTAAAGAGTTAAATTTACATTACTGTAATAAAATAATACAAATCATATTTATGAAATGAATTGAAAAATGATACAAAATATTGATTATAATTTAAACATTGCAGGTTATAAGGAATGGAACAATTTCGACCGACAAAAATACATGGATATATATATATATATATTGATGTGATTGTAAGGTAGTATATATTGTAAATGTTCTAAACTATTTGATTAAATGTTTAAACACTTTAGTTGAGACTGGCGTTTGAATTTGTAACATATAGAAACAACAATTGACCCTTTAATTATTGAGGTAGTTTGATTCGGGCAAAATATATGAATATGTTAGATCAATGCAAAACAAATTATTAATTTTTCATAACCTAAAATTTGAGTTAAAAGCTTTTGCCTTTTTATTTTGAGGATAAAATTGAAGTTTTTTTTTATTAATTTAAATGGTTGTCCCTTGTTCTCATATGTAATGGGGTAAGGGGAAGTAAGATAGTAGGCTGCCCCAATACCAGATTGAGAGCAACTTCCGTAGAAGACCTCCGAATTATGAAATGCCCTCCGTAGGACTCGATCCCACAACCTCAAAATTAAAAACCTTGTGCTTTACCAACTAAGCTGGATAATCATCTCTTTTTTAAGAAATAAATTAGATAAGATAGGATCTTTTTTAAGAAATAAATTTTAAATTAAGAATTAAAATGAAATTAAGTTGCACTCCACGCGTCAGCCGTCGAACGTACCTCATATATAACTAACACTAAGCAATGATCTTTATGAAGTAATGTATGATGAATGAAGGAATGAACGTATGGTACCTCATATATTATTCATAAAATCGACACAATTCATCAAAGCCTCAATGTTTCATCAAAGGAGAATAAAATTTGATTTAACTTAAAAAAATCATTTTTTAATTTAATATTAAAAAATCTTAATCCAACTCATAATTTTATAAATTTGAGTTGAATAATTTTTAAATAAACTTGAATTATAAAATAAGACTCGAATAACTTAAAATTTTTAATAATTAGTGAATTAATTTTAAAATTTGAGTTAAGTCTCTCAATTTTATATGATATATGTATCACATATGAAAAGTATAAAAATATAAAATCATTTAAATTAAAATAAATTAATATTATAATATTTATAAACATTTAAATTCGACTAAAAGAATTTAAATTTTAAAATGAAACTAACTTAACTTTTTTGGGCTATTTTCTCCAAAAATCACCCTACACCTATATATTTTCCTGTCAGACACCATTCATACTATATTTCCCGATCTAACACCTTTGGCAGAAAGGCGCGTCCCTACACCGCGCTTTACACCACGTGGCAGCGCACCTTGTTAAACGTGTAAAAAACTCGGGTGTTAATTTTGTAAATATTTTAAAAATTGTGCTTAATATGTAATTAATTTATGTTAGGGTGATATTTGTGTAAAAATGCCAACTTTATCTATTTATTTTTTTGATATTATTTTTAAACAGTTAATAATGTTTATTGACTTTTAAAATTAATTGTTTAAAAATATTAAAATAAATTTTTAATTACAATCGATAGATCAAATGAATTATTATTCATTTTTTTAAAATATAAAAATACAATAAAAATGAATAAAATTTAATAAAAATATAATGTAAAGCTAAAAATATCACCTCTTTTTTAAAATATTATTTCTAATATTAATTTTAAAAAATATTAAATTTTAATTTTATTAAAAATAAATAAATATTATTAACTGTTGTTAAAAAATAATAATTAATGACGAGACAAAACAGATTTTGTGAAGATTGAGCTGAAAAGATCAACTCTTTGATCGGATGTTTATTCGTGGTATAATTGAGTTGATATTTAGACAACAATTAGACAATTTTAAGTTATTGACTTTGTATGATCGAATTTTCATTCGATTCATGTAGTTTTCCACACCTACGACTCTTTAACAATAATAAACTTGAATAAAATAAACTTTTAATTACAATTGAGGGATCAAATTAATTATTTTTCATTAATAATTATTTTTTAAAAACAGTTAATAATGTTTATTCATTTTTAATAAAATTAAAATTTAATATTTATTTATATTTTTAAAATTAATATTAAAAAGAATATTTTAAATAAATATTTGATATTTTTTAACTTTATATTATATTTTTATTGAATTTTATTCATTTTTAATTCATTTTATTACATATTTATTTATTTTTTAAAAAAGTGAATAATAATTAATTTAATCTCTCAATTGTAATTAAAAGTTTATTTTAATATTTTTAAACAATTAATTTTAAAAGTCAATAAATATTATTAACTGTTGTTAAAAATAATATCAAAAAAAATAAATTGATAAAGTTGGTGTTTTTATACATATATCACTCTAACAAAAATTAATTATATATTAAGTACCAGTTTAAAAATATTTATAAAATTAACATCCGATTTTTTATACGTTTAATAAGGCGCGCTGTAAGGGGCGTGTCTTACCTCACGTAACGCCAGATCAACTTAAAACGCACGGTAAGAAGTGCGTTTTTCTGTAAAAGGATGTTAGATTAAAAAATATAACTTGAATGATATTTGACATAGAAATATATATGTGTAGTGATTTTTGGGGGGAAAATCGCCACTTTTTTTAACTCAACTCATCTGACTTAACTGGATCGAATGCGGACCCCTATGTTGACCCACACGCCAGTTGGCAAATGTGAATTAGGAGAAGGCACACGTTGAGTTGAAACCGATCAACTGATGCTGCGCCACTGCTTTTAGCTTAGCTTTGGTGATTGCAATTTGCATGGCATCTCCAATTTTTTTGCCCTAAGATCAGGCCACGTCATAACGATTACGCCGGACTGGGTCCCAAACAGGGTAGTTGTGGTGGCAGCGGCTGACTGCTTTTTATTCATTCAAGGTTTAAGGTGAGAAGCGTGAACCAATTTTTATCTCTGGTTCCGTAGCCCTTGTTTCGCAAAAACTCCAGCCTTTTCCATCGGCAACATGACATTCGCCACGATTTCCCATTTCTCTCTCTTTTTCCTTTTGCTATCATCAACCCTTTCTTCTCCTCCTGGAACTGCTGGTAATTTCATTCATTTTGTTTTCCCTTTTCTTCTATTTATTTACAGTTTGGGCGACAGATTAGCATCCTTTTTTTCTTCTTTTCTTTTTGTATCGGTTTTGTCGTAATCGGTTTTCTTCCGGGCACGAATTTGTTTTTTACTTGGCGGGAAAAGTGATGTGAATAAATGGTTTTTAAAATAATTTGGGAGTCGCCATCGACCTTTTGGGTCAGGTAGTTCAAATACCTAAAAATCATCTTTTAAAAGAGTTTTTAAGAAAACATCAGTTAGAAGATAAACTGATATGCGTTTAACCAAAAATTCATTCTTTTAATTAATAAAAAGGGATTCGTGGTCGGTTACGTTTAGGGAATGATTAGCACCCCTACAACACCCAAAATTGGTACTTTTTAATTATAAATTGTCTCTATTATTGGAAATTTAAAAATTCAAAGATATATTTAATTATATTATTTCAAATTTTATTACTATAATTTTTAAGAATATATTAATTTAAATATATTTATAAAAAATATTTATTTATTTAGAAATATTAGAAAAGGACTTCTAGGTGCTTTAAGACAGCTCTTTTCTTCGATATTAAAAAATAAATAAATGACTAAAACATTTTCTTAAGATAATAAAAATTTATTTTAATATAGTAAAATATTTATTTATTCAAAAATATAAGAAAAGAGCTTCTAAGTACCTTAAGACAGCTCTTTTCTTCAATATTAATAAATAAATATTAAAATTTAAATAATTTAAATGAAACTAAATTATAATTTTTATAATGTTTAATTATTTAAAATACCAGAATAGGACATCCAGTTATTTTAAGACTGCCATTTTCTTTGATATTGAAAATAAATAAACATTATTCTTTAAAAGAATATAGGTATATATTTATATGAATAAGATAATAATAAAATAATTATGAAAATAATAATTTAAACATATAAAATTAAAATATAAATGATAAAATTAAATATAAAAAGTAATAAAACTTATAATTAAAATTGGTGACTAAATTATGACATATCAAGATTAAAAGCTCTAGTTTGAAATATTATGAAAACTAGGTGTTACTAATGTAATTAATCCTTAATTAATTAATTAGAGGTCAAAATAAAAATTATTAAAGTTATAAGGACTAAATTATAAACTAAATAAAATCGAAAGACCGAATTAAAAGGTTCAAGATTTGATTTTAGTGACCAAAATGAAAAGTTACAAAACTGTGGTGGCAGCGGGTTTGGTTTACCCACGTGAGAAATTACAGATATACCCCTCCCCCAAAACGGCGTCGTTTGGGAAGGGCTTAAAAATCCCAAAAGGCCGGCCCTTAAGGGCCAGCTTCTCATTTTCATCTTTCCTCTTCTCTCTCTATCTGAGAGAGAAGAGAAACTCTCTCGTCTCTCTCTTCAATCCTCCAAACGGAGGTTGGCCGACCACCGGTTGATAGCCATACTCCGGCACCGACACCACCTCCGGCCACCACTCACGGTGGCTGGAATATGCAAAAATATCCTAATCTTAAAGATCTACTTGCCACGAACCCGAATCTAGCCTCATTTTATCCTAAAAACCCTTAGATTTTCTTAAATCTAAGAAAATACCTTCGGTATTTTCGGTTCTCCGGCAAGATGA